ATGCCTAAGAATAAGTTTAATATAGTGATAACTTGTACTGATTTTAAATTTTCATTTGGCCACCTTTCCAGTTTTTGCTGTTCAAGCTTTAGATCAGTGCTTCCCAAACATTTGGCAGCAAAAAGTCATTGAGGGAACTTGTTAAAAAGCAAATTCTAATTTCATAGGTGCCATGGCTTGGATATAGTTTGCTTCTTCCTGCCAAAGCTCATATTGAAGTTTGATCCCCAGTGTGATGGTGTTGGGAGGTGGGGCATAGTGGCTGGTGTTTGGGCCGTGGGGATGAATCCCTCAGTGATAATTTGGTGTTATTTTCCTGGCAATGAGTGTGATTCTGGCTCTCATGAGACAGGATTATTTATTGTGAGAGTGAATTGTTAGAAAGCCAGGACACCTCTCAGGTTTTCCCCTCTTTTCATGTGCCTGCTTCTCATCTGATCTCCTCAGCCATACTTTGATGCAGCACAAAAGCCCTCACCAGAAGCCAAGCAGTTATCAGCATCATGCTTCTTGTCCAGCCAACAGAACTGCCAAATAAGCCTCTTTTCTTTATCAATTACCCAGCCACAGATACTCCTTTACAGCAACACAAATTAAGACAGTAGGTCTCAGGTGGCGTCAGAGACGCTGCACTCAAACAAACTCCCACAAACCATTCTTTAAAATATAAGACTTTATGTCACTGCTTTGTCCATCAAGCTAAGTCCAAATCTTAAAGGCCCTTATACTGATTTTACATTAGTTAAAAATGAAGTAGCTATTAGTATTGAAATTAATTAAATAAATCTGGTAACCAGATACACACTTGTTTCTTGACAACTTAGGCTGTGCAAAAATAGATGATTCTAAACTTTGTATGTTATGACTATGAATCAGGGTCCATGTCCTATCAATGTCTCCAGAAGTCAGTTCATCTTTTCTGGCTTTATACAAATGCTGTTCAACATTACCACTTAGACACCACTCCATGAGGTATTGAATTTACTCCAGCCTTAAATTAGTTTTCTATAATTATAAATTTAGTGGCTTTAAACACTACAAATTTATTGTTTTAGAATTCCGTGGGTTAGAACTCTAGTGGGCTTGAGGAGAGGTTCTGATTCCTTGCTTGTTCAGGTTGTTGGCAGAATGTTCCATCCAGCTGGTAGGACTGAGGTCTCTCCTTCTGCTGGTTGTCAGCTGAGAGCTGTTACTAGCTCCTGGAGATTGCTTGCACTCTTCAGTTCATGGCCCCCTTCCTCTATCTTCAAAGCCAGCAACAGCTAATGGAATCTTTCTCATGCCTTAAGTATGTCCTGCCTCTTCTGTTACATCTGTCTGACTCTCTCTTGCACTCACCAGAAATGATTTCTGTTGCTAAGGATGTATATGAGTAGATTGGGCCTATTTAAATAATTTAGGATAACCTCTCCATTTTGAAGTCTATAATCTTCATCAAATGTGCCAAATCCCTTTTTACCATGAAATTTCATATTCAGATTTTCAGAATTCCCAGGATTATCACATGTACATATTTGGGGGACTGTTATTCTAACACACAAGCCTGTTGTGTGGGATAGGCTTATTTTAGCTGGGTTTATTAGCTACAATGAGAAAACTAAGTGAAACAGAAGAGGAATGTATTACAGCTTCTAAGATAGGCTTCAGAAGTTCTAGGAGGACCAGAAAACTGGGTTTAGAGATTATGCAGCCAGATTAATATCTAAGCCAACCAGGAGACTATTCACAGGCTTGATTCCAGTACAAGCATTGCAAACCATGAATACGGGACCCTGAACCATTCCCTTCTGCAACAGTTGCTTTTCCATCTCAGTGTCTGCCAATCTCTGACATATTTACTAGCTATGAATCCCTTAAAAAGCCTGTGTCGTCTGTTTTTGCCCTGCAGAACACTGAAGTGTTGTGGGGGTACATTTCACTGGGGAAAACAAGTAAATGTCTGTCTTGGTCACCAAGAAGGTGGCGAATTGAATTTTGGATTTTTCTTTAGTATCAATTTTGCCAAATATAGGGAAAAAAAATAATTTTTACCAAGTTGTGATCTGTAAGTGTGACTCTATAACCTATGTAATCCTTCTTCTTAAATAAAGCTCTAAGGAGGCTAGTCCTCACCTGGCTCTTCCTCTCCTTCAACACATAATAAGAATGCTTCTCCAAGACTCCCGAAAGGCCTAGGGAGTTCCACCTACACTATGTTAGTTAATATATTAATAGTCACGGTTGTATTTTGAAATGATTATGACATTTAAAGACTCAATAACTCAGAATCATAAAAGTAAAGTCTCATATATTTCTTAAGAGTTCTGGGACATGGGTGAACCTGGAAACCGTCATTCTCAGCAAACTGACAGAAGAGCAGATCAAACACCGCATGTTCTCACTCATAGGCGGGTGTTGAACAATGAGAACACATGGACACAGGGAGGGGAGCACTACACACTGGGGTCAGTTGGGTGGAAATAGGGAGGGATGGTGGGGGGTGGGGAGCTGGGGAGAGATAGCAAGGGGAGAGATGCCAGATGTAGGTGATGGGGAGGAAGGCAGCAAATCACACTGCCACGTGTGTACCTATGCAACAATCTTGCAAGTTCTTCACATGCATCCCAAAACCTAAAATGCAATAACATAAATAAATGGGGGGGGAAAAAAAAGAAAGAAGAAAAGAGGACCATGGCATGAGCCCTGGGCCACTGTAATATTAAGAAAAAAAAAAGAGTTCTTATAAATCTGCGGCAGGGATAATTTAGGTTTGTTTGTTTTTTATGCTCGTGGAATTTTCTGCCAACTCAAGGTGTTTTTCTCTAGTCATAGGGCTCTGGAGCCTGGATTAAATGACCCTAACAATAACCTGTGTTATATACAATATTTTTAGGTTACAAATTACATTAATACGTTAACTTTTGCTCATGTCTAATATCTAGAAATTACTATGAACAATAGTGCACTCATATGTCGATATAGTTGTGGGATTGGTTTCAGGATGCTGCATAAACACAAAATTGGTGCATACTCAAATCCCAGAGTCCACCCTGTGGAATATACATATGCTAAAAGTTGGCCCTACACATAGGTGGGTTTGCATCCCACAGAGGTTTTATTTGCTTGGTGGAAAAAAACTCTGAGTATAAGTGGACCTATGTAATTGAAACCTGTGTTGTTCAAGGGTGATCTGTATATGTATTACTATCTTTATTTTACTGTAATCACTTGATTAAGTGTTTAAATTTGGAAGACTTTGATCTGAATTCTATCTCTGTCTCATTTTCTGCAAATTGGATTGCTAACATTTATCTGATGGAAATTTTCAGAAATAAAAGGGATAAAATGTATATCACTTGGTTGCTATTAATACACTGTAATTTCAAACCAAAAGTGGATTTCATCTTTAAAATAATTTCTTAACAGTGACTCAATTGGTTAACTCATGATTCAGATTTTGAAATGGGAAACCCTAATGTCTGCTCATATTTTGTCCAAGATTTTTCATTTAGAACAAGACAGGCATTTCTATCTAGAGTTGAGGTTACAAACTGTGGGGGGAAAAGAAGCCTTTCCTGGAAAACCTAATTTTTCCTCTGAGAATTAAATCAGTGGCCCTAGCCATGAACTGTCTAGAATCATAGGTTGTATAAACTGTAACCTAAAGGCATTTCCATAAATAGCAAACCATGAAATCATGCCACAAGAATGACTGACTGATTTGGTCAAGCTACTCATTTCACACATAGTTTATTCAATAGTAATGTTTGAGTTCACTGAGAAACATATCCAAGAATTTGATGCTTGTTCCTGCCATGTTTCAAATTAGTCTCTGCACATGAAGTCAGCAGTTTGGTTTGAATTCCCTTTCTTCCCAGTTACTAGCTATGGACCTATGCATTTATTTAATTAATAAGCAATTCCTTATTGAGGGACTGTCTATCACGGAGGGAGATGCTGGTGCTGTGGTTCACATGGCATTCACCATTCCTGTCTTCACAGAACTTTTTTTTTTTTTTTTTTTTTGAGACAGAGTTTCACCCTTGTTACCCAGGCTAGAGTGCAATGGCGCGATCTCGGCTCACCGCAACCTCCGCCTCCTGGGTTCAAGCAATTCTCCTGCCTCAGCCTCCTGAGTAGCTGGGATTACAGGCACGCGCCACCATGCCCAGCTAATTTTTTGTAGTTTTAGTAGAGACAGGGTTTCACCATGTTGACCAGGATGGTCTCGATCTCTTGACCTCGTGATCCACCTGCCTCGGCCTCCCACAGTGCTGGGATTACAGGCGTGAGCCACCGCGCCCGGCCCGCAGAACTTTTAATCATGGGAATAGTCGTTGCTGAATGACAGCCATTAAACAACCAATTACACAATTATTCCATTACAGTTTGAACCAGAGCTACTAAAAGAAAATAACATAACTTTCACAGCAAATCAATCCCTAACTGCGAAATTTTGAAAATATGATTGATTTAAAAGAAAATTATGCCCTATGCTACTCATTCTGAAAAGAATAAAGTATACACTGTATTAAGCTTAGTGATGGTTAAAAGATGCCTAGTAAAAGAGCTTACTTTCTAGCATTTTTTGTGAGGCCTTTTATTAAACATCACTTATAACTTGAATGTTGCTTCTTTCAATTTCTTATAAGTAGTTAGAATTTATTCCAAGCCACATCACCACATAGTTTAAAATAATAACTTTATTGATGATGTGCTGTAATAATTGCCATCTAGTTATCAACAGTGATCTATGACGATTGGGCTGATCGTGTTAATGCTGATCTTTTAAAGTGAATGCATCAATACTAATATATTCCAAAACAGTACTGGCCAATTTTATCCTAGTTTGGTGGCTCTGCATTTCACTATATTTTAATTTCTCACCTGTTAATAAATATAACCTCATCTTGTTGATCTACCTGTCATCAAATAGCACTGCAGTTTGAGATGCCAGAATTTAGCATCTTAAATAAATATCTCTAGGATGACCATCTCAATAACAATATGTAAAATGTTTCTTGCAGGAATGAAATATTACTTACACTCCATCTGGAGTAATTTCATCAATTCAAATCTATCTTATTGCTTATAAAAATAATTCTTATACCATGAAGCATTTGTTTAAAGAATGCAACATTCTTTATCACTCCATTGAGAAATTTTAGGTAAGTCCCTGAATCCGAGAATCTCTTTTCAAATTAAGTTGCTATTACAAAATCTAATCATTCATGTCATCACTCGTAGTGATTCAACACATTAAAACTATAGCTCTCTGGCACTAACACCAAAATCATATGCTTCCCTTTAACACCATAGCATCTTATTTTGAAGCTGTTACAATATTCCTGGAAATGGTTTAGTTTGTCTGTGTGATGCATTTTCATTAAAAATACCTCATGTAGAATAAGTCATACTGATTCAAATGATGTCTGCTAAAGACATTAACACACATAGCCAATAAGCATTAATAGGCTTGTTAATACAGAGTGTTTCACTCAATATATTTGCATCACTTTACTGACAAAAATATTCTTTTGATATTGCAGAAAATATTCATTATTATTTAATGTCACTTAAATATTTTGCATAATTCAAGATGTTAAACAAACCTTTCTTTTAAAGGAAAGTAGCACTTGGCTTTTGTGATTTTTCTTATGCATTCAAAATAAAATACTCTGACTTTAGAAAAAACTATCCCTACCACTTCTATTTGACAGCATAGCCATATTCAAAAAATGATTAAGATTCAGATCGATCCAAAAGAACAGAATTAGCTTTATAAGGACATGTTTGGACAGTATTTTTTCCATCATGATATTGCACAAAACAAATACACATACATATTAAGTCATTGTAACAGGCATGAGAGAAAAGAAAGTTAAAATAACTATCTGTCATAGTAATTATTAATGCTAAAATCTTAGTAATGGGATTCTGTCCAATTAGTTTCTGTGACTCTCAAGTTCTGCATAAATTGGATAAAATTTGCTTGTTTGCATCTTGATTTTTCCAAGGCTCTCTTTCCTGGGCAAATCTCCAGATTGGCAAGCTCAAGCAGATTTTAAAATAGCCTTTCCATATATCACCCACACTTGTCCTGCTTGGGGACAGATTGACGTCTGAGCTTTGAGGGTTGTAACTAAGCTGCTTTTCTCTGCAGAAAAGTTCATTTTACTTCAGCAATTGCAGATACCTTCCTTACCTCCTACCAAGTCAGTGTTTTCCAATTGTTTCAGCCCGTTTCCACAACTCAAGCACACCGTTCAAGGTTCACAGTAAAAGGATCCCATGAAGAGCATTTTTTCCAAACTCATTCTTCACTCTTGACATGTTACATAACTTTCCTACGTGGATAAAGTATAGGAATATATTTATGTCTCTTTCCAGTTCAGATAGAGAACTGTTAGACTGGCCAATTTGACATTTGTTTCTAACATTTAAACATTTAGTTTATTCTTATTAATGAGGTTTAATCTTTATAATCTAATTTGTTACATAATTTTAAAATTATTGAACAATTTCAATCCAATCCACGTGTTTTGTTCTTTTCTAAGAGCAAAGCATTCTAAAAAAGCATAGAAAAGGTAGAAGAGAATCTCAAAATAGAAATTAAAAGTAGGAATCTAAAATCTGGCAACACCTATCACATGCAAAATACAACTTAATATATTTCATTTGGTCCTGATTAGTACTAATAGCACACCACTAATGAGGATTAGATCATAGATTCATAGAATGTTAGAATAGACCTATAAAGAATCTATAAGCTGGTCTAGGTCAAAACTTCTATCTTTTCACTTTAAAGAAGAGGAAAATGATTCTCATAGAGTTAAATAACTTGGCTAAAGCCAAATAACCACTTACAGAGCAGATATTAAACCCAAGGTCTCCTAACTTCTGTGCCATTGCACTTTTTCCTAAAAATGTTAAGTATAGCTTATGTAACCGTTTATTAACAGCAAAAGCAGCCCCACATACATGTTCTTTGACAGTGGATCAAGATCATCCTCTTCATATTAAAGAGCAAGCTTTATTACTCACATGCTGATTAAGAGAAGGACTAAAGCACCCGATTTTCCACTTGCTCACTAGGTTACACCTAATAATTTTTCACTGTTTTATTTCATGGCCAAAACAAGAAATGTGGTAAAATAGTATTTAGTTCATATAAGTTTCCAGTAAATATGTATGAAAATGGTTTAAATGTGTATTCAAAGGTTTTAAACAGCAGTTTCGGTGATGATAATATGTTTGCTCTAGAAAAGAATGTAGTGGTTGATAAGGCAATTTTGTTTTGTTTTGTTTAGTTTTTTTAAGAGACAGGGTCTCCCTGTGTTGCCCAGGCTGGAGTGCAGTGGCTATTCACAGGCGCGATCCCACTACTGATCAGCACAGGAGTTTTGACCTGCTCCGTTTCCGACCTGGGGCGGTTCACCCCTCCTTAGGCAACCTGGTGGTCCCCCACTCCAGGGAGATCACCATATTGATGCCGAACTTAGTGCGGACACCCGATCGGCATAGCGCACTACAGCCCAGAACTCCTGGACTCAAGAGATCCTTTAATCTCAGCCTCCCGAGTAGCTGGGACTCCAGGCACGCGCCACCGCTCCTGGTGAGCAGCCAGTTTTGTGAGCCAGGATCACTGAGTTCAGATACCACAGCTTACTCATATGTTAATGAATATAGGCTAATGAAAGTATCGACCTCACAGGGATATTTGATGAAATGTGTTAATATGGGTATGTTGTTGATATTGTTATCAATTATCATTATTATTATTTTTTCAAAAGTTTGAGATAATAAACTGTTTTAAAAAGATTGGCTACATTGTGTTCACAATAATCTGTTCTCTATAAAGGATACCTTTTAAAATAAAATATTTACTGGCAAATTGCATCTGAGGCATTTTGGGTTCAATTCAGAACCATGAGCAATAAGATTTCAACATTAAAAATGCATGGTATATAAACGACTTTATACTAAGCTCCATCTAAAAATAATTGCTGATCAAGGTGTTAAAACTTAAAAATGTACAGTAAAAAGTTTTCTCACAATATCCTCTATTGCTTACTGATTTCATATTCTCCCTCAGTTTACTTGTATGAAAAAAATAAAAACCATATTGAACAAGATAATCTCTAAGACATTTCTGGTCGTAAAGCTTTCTTTGCATTTCTTAATTTTATGTCTCATTTTCAAAGGAAACTTTTGCACTCTCAGAAAGAGTTAACAAAGTAAATGTTTGCTAAAAAGTAAGCATTTCGGCTTTAAGCAATAGATAGATTTAAGTGTTTCAGCTTTATGTAATAGTTAGATCATCTTTTGGATTTTTCTAAACGTTAGGTTTCCAAAAAGAACACTGCGTTAATTTCGTATAAAGAATAGCTTTGTTGAAAGTGAATGATAGGGTATTTATATAACAATTTAGTGAAATTAGATTCCTGAAAACTATTTTAGACAGAGGAGAAGGTAAATATTGGCTTAAATCACAGGAAACATTTCAGTTTTCTTCCTTCTCTGTAAGACCAATGATATATCCACACATGAACAGGCCTTTTTGTGAGGTAACGATTATCTCCAAGGATCATTTAAATTTCAAAGAGAACTATTTACAGATTAATTTATGTTCCCAGATCTATCATTTTCCCTAGTAACCGTTTATTACCCTTCAACAGAGTTCTTCTTCTCCCCATCCCATACATAACCTGTCTTTCTGCAACCTCAATTTTTCTATAATTTCAAGATAACATATAAGCTTCTGTACTCCATTGGGAAGTTGGGTCTTCATTCTGAATGCTCCCTTGTATACACAGTAAATAAATTTCTATGCCTTTCTATTATTAATTAATTTGCCTCAAGTCAGTGTTTTTAGTGAACCTTTAGGGAGCCAAAAGCCTTAACCCCAACAATAAAAAGCTGCATTACTAGTAACTCAGAAATAAGCATACATGCCATATATAATTTTAGTAGGCTTTGAGTCCCTCGACTCAAATTAATTTATTATATAAAGCTCTGGCATTAGATTTTTGAAACCAAAGTAATATTTTGAGGTAGAAAACCATCATATTTATGTAAAAAAATCCATAGTTTGGGGATTTCAAATCGTATAGATCAGGAACCTGAATAGAAATAAAAATAGTGAAGCAACTGAAGCAATTTTCTATTCTTTACCATACACATGGACACTTTGTATATCCCATGTGAAAAATAAGCAGAAGAACCATGTAATTTACTGCCCAAACTGGGACACTTTGATAGTGAACAGGGATATGAATAGTTACAATAGGACAATAAGTATAAAACAGGACTATTACAAAAAAAAGCCATGTATTATCATCGTAAGAGTTCATAAGGAAATTATCTCTAATGATTTAAAATTTATTTTTTCTTTCTATGCTGTAAATACATAACCATGACAGTTCCAGTTGAAAAAGCATTTATTTTTCTACTTTTTTAACAAACATACATGTGTGTACCTTATGCTAAACACTGATCTACACTGGGAAGAGTATTATTAATTTACTTTAGATGACAATTACTGAATGAAGTTACAGGTTTATAAACACAACCCTTAGTTAAGAAGCACTCAGCTGATATGTTCTGTGATGCCGAAACATAGCAGATGATGATTTCTTAACTAATTTTTATAGAAATCTCAAAAACATCTTAATTTATTTATTTCAAAGTCTAAACTATTTTCAGTATAAATTTTAAACCAAGTATATACACATTTATATGTTTAAAATTAAAATAAATATAAGCAAATTATATTTTGCTTTATAAGCCATGCCTCACTAAATACTGTTTGATTGCCTTAACCTACTGAATTTAAAAATAAGAACCATGTAACGGAGGCAATTTCTTTAAAAAGCTTCATAATGGTACAGATATTTCATACACAAGTTTAAAATGTAATTTGAAGATTTTTAAGGTACAATTTTCTAGCTCTACTGTTTGTGGGGTCCTCTTTGACTTCCAAAGTTGGCATAACATTTATTTTAAAGTAAAAATATTTGAACTACAGAAGATGCAGAAGAAATTTTACCAGAACTTATCTGATAAAGTTTAAGTTCCCCAAAGTATAACTGTTATTAACCTTTCCCAAAGGAATTTTGCTGCAAATTCAGCTGCCAAGAAGATAATTCATTTCTGTTACCATTAAACAACACAACAGAATCTCTCATGCTCTCTCATTGAAGCCCTAAAAACTTTCCTTTCATTAAGTTGATATATAGAAACATTTAATTCCAGCTATTCTATGACTTTGTTCATTATTGGAGTTCCTTCATAAGCACATAAATCAACACTGTCTTCTCTCCTGTCAATATGTATATTGTCCTTCAATTTGCAGACCATCAACCACTGGGCCCAACTGAGAAGAGAAAAAAACAATTTTTGCAACACATTCCTAGGTCTGTGATATAGTTTTGTTTTTTGCCTTTGAAAAAGCAACCCTTTTTCCTTAAATTATTTCTAAATGATTTCTAGATAAGATAATAAGCTGTACTATGGTCCAAATGTATTTGGACCATCTCCAGGCCTTCCCATAAGTTTTAAATGCAGACATGTGGGGACACAGTAATAAGATCCATGTAAAAATGAGGATAAGAACCCTCTTCGGAACCTGAATCTGCCAACACCTTAGACTTCCCAGATTTCCAAACCATGACAAACAAAATTTTTTGTTGTTGTTTACAAGCTAACCAGTCTATGGTATTTTGTTACAGTTTCCCAAAGAAATGAAGACAAGGTAGTATTGTTTGAGGCAGTGAATTTTAAAAATATTCACGTTACTCAATGTTAAAACTAGGAATATCAAATTTTTGTTAAAAAAAATAGTTATGAGATTAAAAAGATTATATAATTTTAAGATGACATGGTAATTTGGAATGTACAGAGAGAGTTTATGTAAATGTTTTGATGAATGAATTATTTTAATCACTAATTCAGTTGTAGTTGTGAAGAGATTTTTAAAGCTACTCTACAAATACAGCAAAGATAAGTAGAATTACATAGTTATTCCATAAGAAATAAATAATATACAGAACATAAAATATTCTACAAACTAAAATACAACAGCAGTAATAGCTTGACTACCCGTTGAGAACTTTCTGCAACTCAGAAACTTGAAAGCAAGGGGCCTAGCCATTGAACACAAAACCACTAGCTGGTGATAGTCCCACAGGTAAAGCTTGCAGCTAGCTCTCAAGCAAATGTTAAATAACAAATGAGAAAGTCCACCTCAGGAGAGTAACCAAGACAAAAAGTGCCCTTTTATCTGAAAATTATTTTTTAATGTTATCCTAAGAGATATTCCAAAAGTATTTACTAACACTAACCAAGG